CACTTAACCATTAGAAGTCGAATCAGGCGGTACCACATAAGATTTAACAAAAGAACATCCCGGGCAAAGCCTTAATTCGCCAAGACCGACACAGAAATTCGAAACAAATTCATTTTAAAATATGTTACATTTCCACCACCTTCAGGGGGTTGGTGTTTTGTGAAGGGGTGTTTCCGGTGCAGGACGGACAGCATTTTTTTTTATGTGGGGGTGTCCTGAGAAAATTGTGGCCTTGGTCCTGTTTAGCTCTGATAACAGGGCCTCTGACATAATAACGTTATCGGGGACAGGGTGTTGACGATACTCGTTGGTGGGGGGGAGGCGTGGGGGCAGGGGAGAGCGAAGATAACTGCCTGGTGGAGCGTACAAAGCGTAATTGCGAGAAGGCTTGACATCCTACTATGGTTTCATTACAGCGTGGCCGACTGCATTTCAGGAATTTTCCTCCCTTCCTCCTCGAGCTTTTAAATTCCGGCATTTTGATAAAATGTAACCAACTGTGAAGTGACAGTCGAAAGCAAAACCACAGCAAGCTAACACGTGTTGTTCGCCCCGCGCACTGGTGTGGCCGTGTTCGTACAACCGCTGCAGAGATTTCGCTACCACTGAGTGAGTACGGAGCTGTCCTCCGACCGATGGAGGTCTTGAAGTGTCAACAGAGTTTAAACACTTCACAATGAAGGTTAAATATTTAGGGCAAACCGGAATATCCTTTTAAAACTATATGCCCCTTTTGCAGTTATTTTAGATGTTGTGAAGCACGTCTCTGAAAACGCGTAATCTCAAAGTTTTGCGTCAACACGTATAGACTTTATATTTGCGTGTTTCATATGTTTCTTTGTGTGTTCAGATATTATTTCCCTAAACAGCGTTAACCAGTTGATCTTTGTAATGGTGAAGTGTTGTGTTCACTTTGCGGTACGGACTGAATTAAATAATATTTAGGGGAGCTTTAGCTGTAAAGGTTCAAAAGGGTAGTGATAACTGTGTATACGACCGGATTTAATGTTCACAAATCGGCATGTCTCATACGTAGCCTCCTTTGGGGGTTTTATCTGTTCTCAAAATTAAGAATGAACATAAATGTTGTTCGTAACTCCGTTAACTAAAAGATTTTACAAAGGTAAGAGTAATGCAGTGTGATTTTATGGAGGATAATAAAATATTTTGATACAGTTTTTCAGTCAGTATAAAATTTGGGTTACATGCTAGACATCTATTTTACGATACGTAAAGAATGCCGTCCCAAACGAGAGACTTGCAGTTTTCCCCCATTCACGGACATAACGCACATCATCATGTTGACGATGTTACGTCATTTTTAAAAGATAATTACATCTCATCAACGAAATGTAGAGGCCAGTCGCACGATAACGAGCGATTATATCAGGCGTTATTCAGGATTGCCAGCCTGATTAAAATAAGATTTACATGTACCAAGTACAGGATATTCTGTAAATTTAACCGGTTTGCAGGCTATAGATTGCAGTTTAAATGTTAAAGTTTGATTTGATTTAATCCAAAAATCTCTAAACTTTCTTTTCGTCGTCAACACATCGTTGGGAAATACTGGTTTCACATTTAGATTCCAACCTTAAAGCAATAAAACATTTATAAAAAAAAAACTAGTCGGTTTGCACATTCGATAACTGCTATAAATGTTGGTTACAAGGAGATTAAAAAGAGTTTGGGTGCCTTATTAAATTATATAAACGAGACATCAGAAACATGAAATGAATTGGAAACAACATAACTTTTTTTGCAATGAAATATTGATCCGTATTAATAGTGCCATTTATTTTTATATTAGCAGTGCTTTTTAACTTGTCTCTCATAACCCTGCTACTCAAAAATCTTAGCGCTTTTGGACTTTGTGGTTACGTAACCAACAGACAGTCTCAGGTTTCTTCAATTCTTTCATCGGCTTTCGTAGTGCTGTCTGGTGTCACACAGGAATCTATTTTGGGACCTCTGCTTATCAACATATTTATTGATGACTTATGTAATGCAATTAATCAATATTAGACAGCTTCTGTTCGCTGATGATATCAAAATCTTCGTATCATTAAATCTTCCGACTGCAGTCAACTTCAAATTTAAATTAATTTTGTACACGGTTTGTTAAGTATTAGTAAAACCAGAGTAATTTCCTTCTCAAGAAAAACTACTGAATTGATCTACGATTATCTAATAGACTGCTAAATTCTAATTATATAGCATTTTAATTTGTATTCAAATAATGTATTTTAGCAGTATATTTTCAATCATTTAGTGTTAAAGACTTGAGGACTTTAAAAAAATTAAAAAAAATTAAAAACTATAGGGCTTTCATTCATTTCAATTTTGGTTATGTTTAGGGGTCTCTGGTTTTAAATTTATTTGGTTATGTTCATATTTTTGTAAGGTTATAATACATAATGACACACTACTAAATTAAAAATACCCCCTTTTAATATCACAGCTCAAACCAACATGAAACATTTTACTAAACAAAAATCTTAACACAACGCCGGCTAGCGACGTTTCAGCGAAGTGGTTGTTGATCTTTTGTTAACCGTCCCGACGCCGGCAGTGAGTCGACGTCATCCATCCCACTTCACCCCCACTAGAAGACGCCATGTCAACGAACCCCTGTAGTTAGTTCACGTCCCGAAAGCATCGTTGCTAGTGGTCGGTCGTAATGGTTGTTCAAAAAGGATCTCTCTCTTTTGATGCTGTGTGTGCGAGGGTGAAGATTCAGTCAACTCTGTGTTAGACCGAGAGTCGGTCGTAAATCAATAGCATTCCGTAGGGCAGAGGTGAAATGTCTTCCACACAAACACCCACCAGGTAAGGGATTCACGGACTAGGGTATGTAAATATGATCAGTGTTAATGATTAAGCATGTGGATTACAAGACGTGCGTTTGCTGAGTGCTACGTTATTTGATTTCTACCTGAAAATATTCTTGTGACATGAAAACATGGAGACTGGGCATGCGTACTACGTAGAGTTAACAGAAAATCGAAGTCGATTCCGCAGAGTTCAGAACCACGCACTACAGTGCCACTGTATGATCAGAAGGTCTTCGCTACGTAATTACCTTTATGTAATATTACCTGGCGTGTAATGAATATTATTCCAGCTAATATTAATACGTAAAAGGAACAAAAGATGTAGGGGTGAGGTTTAACGGAGGTGAGGACGATGTTCTTCTGGGTTTTGTCGCCGTGTGGAATCGCAGGCCATAGGTAGATGTCATAGTTTCGGCGGATAATACTGTTTCCATTTTCAGGGAACAAAACCAACGAACAAACGAGATATGTGAGGAAATTTGGAGAATATAAATTATTAAAATTCTTGTTATTATTCAGTTCAGAATCTGCCATATTCTCAGAAATTATTGCCGAGTTGCAGTTAACTTATTTTAATTTTTAAACTAATATTACTTATAATGAGCTTAAAAATCTGTACTCCTCCCCCAATATTGTCAGGGTGATTAAGTCGAGGAGAATGAGATTGGCTGGGCATGTAGCGCGCATGGATGGGACAAGAGGTGTGCACCGAGTACTGGTTGGGAAGCCTGAGGGGAAGAGACCTCTGGGGAGACCTAGACGTAGATGGGAGGATAATCTCAGGCGGGATCTATGGGAGATAGGAGTTGAAGGAGACTGGATTTTGTTGGCCCAGGACAGGGTCCGGTGGAGGGCTTTGGTTAATTCGGTGATGAACCTTAGAGTTCCCTAAGCCATCTAGTTAGTTAGTTAGTTAGTTAGCTACTCATTAGTTTTGTGAATTACATAAAACTAGCCGAAAGTGGGAAGATCATGACATTGCCTGTCTGTCTGTCTGTCTTTAAACTCAACCAATTTCCGTAAAATTTTGTATTGGAAGTTTATACTAAATATTGTACAGCAAATTTCAATCTGATCTACAGCAGTCAAATATAATCAACTGATATGGAAATAAAATCCAACATAAATTTTCCAAACAGGGCACAACCTTTAAAATTGTACACGTAGCATAAGGTCTATAACTTTTATTTGAAACATATTTTTGCTATGATCCAATATTACCTAAATGTGGTGACGGTACTGGTACCATATATCACAATTAATGAAATGATGTTTTCCGCACGCATGGGTCTCGCCATGGCTGGTCAGCGTATTGAATTGCCAAGGTTACCCACATTTAACAAGTCGAGGGAGTTTACTTTCATCGCGAAGCGGAAATCAGGCTAAGGCGAACTTGATAAGCCTGTTCACAGACTGCCTCTAATCCCAACATGTCCCTTGTTTAACCTTTCTAAACGTCCTGCCACTGATGTGTGAAATATACACGGTTCGATTCGTAAGTTACGGTGGGGCACGGATTTTACGACCGGAGTTCAATTCTGGGCGAGGCAGATTTTTTCTCTTCGCCAGAGCAGCGGCGAGACGCTGACCACTGACCTCTAACTATTGTTTACACTTCTGCAAGGCGTAGTGCTTCGTGAAACATTCAGAGAAAATTTTGCCTCAGTTTCAATGAGATTTTTACTTCGATTTTCACAGATCGCGCCTACTGAAAAGCAGAACGAATTGTAACAACTGAACACCTCTTACATGTACCAGACGTCATTAAATGTTAACTAAATTACGAACTGAAACGTATCCATTCGTTTCAAGTCTACTCATTTCTGTCTTGGCAGGCCCCTGTTTCTGCGTAGTGTATCTAACCGCTTTAAGAGACGTGCATTTCAAAAGAGGGAACTTTCTTATCGTAAGGTTTTTTCGCGTAAGTAAATTTCTGTACAAATGAAGATAGAAAATGAAACCGAATGATGTTAAAACACTATAAATCAGCGTTTATCATCCTATGGTACGTGTACCACTGGTGGTACGCGAACTAAGTAAGGAAATCAAAAGATAATATTAATATAAATAAGTTTTCCATAAACGCAATTTGGTTAGTGGTATATTTAATGTGTTAAATTAGAATTAGTTGTACGCCAGCGAAAAAGAGAGAACACCCCCTGGTCTAAATCATCTACTGAGGTTATGTAGTCCCAATGATTCCTGTTCTGTGTAGCACCTGCTTCTCCTTGCTGATGCCTTCTTCAATCCTTGAAAAAAAAAAACCCACCCCGGTTCGCTGTCATGTCAACGTGGAAACATCGCCGTAAATTTCAGCTGTTGCCAATTTAAATAGTATAGCGCCTTAGCGACTAATCCCAGATAAATGAAATTCCAGTACTTGATTCTGGAAAACACGTGACCTGCAACAATTTTTCGTTTTAAATATTTCTTTCCCGTATTTTGCCAAATAACACAATTCTCTTATGGCCTCTATGGACTCGTGGGACACTCTGTATACTGCAACTCAATACTGAACATACAAATTACCGCGAGTGTGATAAGAAGGTCCTTTCTTACAAGCCCAAATTAAGAGAACGGGATTCAGTGTCGAAATAACTGAACTTATTGCCTGCTGTAACAATCACGATTGTCTAACACGGCGTGGACGGTGTTACAAGGGCAGGGAGATAAGATCTGATCTGCCCGAAAGCAAGGAACAGCTTTCGGTGCATGCCTCTCAATTGAATTTGGTTAGGTCTGTAGTTGTGAACGAAGATTGAAGCAGACTGGTAA